GCAAACTGAGGCTGGCGTAGCTGAGTACCACCTTCCAAGATCTTGTAGCTGGAGGTATGGTCTGACTCCCAGGCCCGTGAGCGGAGGCCCCAGTGCCCCAGAGAGACATCAAGCTCAGCCCTGAACTTCTGCCTGGGTGGGGGCCTGGGGGAGCTCCATCTCCTGGTCCATCTCTGGATGCAGAGGAGAAAGTGCTTGCCCTCAGAAACTAAAGCTCAGAGAGGTCGAGTGGCTTTCCCACGGTCACACAGCAGGCCAGCAGCAGAGCAGAGAGCCCAGAAGTTGTGTCACTCAGGCTAGTGTCTCTCCTACCTTGACTTGTTCCTGGATTTCCTGGCTCTGGCCTCAGACCCTAAAGCGATGGAGTCTTAAGGGTGGCGAGGAGGAGAGACAGCGGGTCCCCTAGCCTCCAAGTGTCTGGGCCACTCTCCTCTGCCCCAGGCTGCAGCTCCCAATGGGAGGCGGAGGACCTCGGCCCCGCAGGTGGCCCCACCAGTGTGTGGGCCTCGAGGAGGCCAGGGTCCATGCTTCTTGCTGCCCTGCGCCAGGCACAGTCAGGAATCCTGGGCCCTGCAGCAACAGTGTCGCGGCCTGTGGGGGCAGGACAGGCGCCCAGCGCCCCAAGGGCTGGTGTGTGTCTGCCCTGTGCAGCTTTTCTGTGTGGCCCTCACGTATCTGGGCAGAGGTTTGTGGGGAGGATGCTGCCAGGAGCTTTTGCAACCGTGGGAACAGCATGTGTGTGTGTGTATTTGGGTGTAGCTGGGCCAGTTTTTGCTTTTGTCCATAGTGGGGTTTGCTCTCTGGGCGCGCTGCTCCCCTCGCGGAGAGCGTGCATGCCTGTTACATGAAGCACTGCCGTCCTCGTGCGTTCCTTGGTTACTGCATTGAACAAAACTGCTGGAGGCTGCTCGGGGCCAGGAGCCCCACTGGATTCTGGGGCCAAAGAGGACCCCACTATGACCCAGAGGAGGGGACAAGTGAGCTGAGTGAGGAGCAGCCAAGGGGCTGACAGAGCGCGGGCACGCACCCGGCAAACCCTCAATGCCCACGCACTCACAGCTCTCTCCTCGCCTTTAAAAAGCCGCAGGGAGCTTCTTAAAAGGAAGTCCTGGGTGGTCTGCTCTTAAATGCGCTCCGAAAAAGTTTTTAGGAGCACGAGAGTGGTATTTGTGGTCTGGATGACGCATTTCTGGAGGGCAAGGACCCTGTCCCCAGATCCACTGGCTCAGCACGGATTGCGTGAGGGCTGTGGGGTTCCAGCGTTGTCCCCGGCGCTGGGGTACGAACCCGACTTCTTTCCTGGAGTGTCCGTTTCCGTGGGGGAGGACCGAAAATGAAACATTAAATAGAGTACTTAAAAGATACTATGGAGAAAAATAAAGCAGGGAAGGGAATGTTGGGTGCGGGGTCCTCAGGAGAGGCCTCACTGAGAAGGTGGAAGGCATCGCAGGGAACAGTGTCGCAGGAGTGGGAACAGCCAGGGTGAAGATCCTGATGTGGTGGGAGCATGCCTGGAGGGTGCCAGGAGCAGACAGGAGGCCTGTGGGATGGGGAACAGAGTGAAGCAGGGGGACCAGAGAGGGGACAGGACCAAGTCAGGTGGGACCTGAGGACTTTGGATTTTGCCTGAGTGAGCTGGGAGCCCTGCAGGGTTCTGAGTCCAGGGTTGGGGTGGGCTGTGCTCAGGGAATGGGGTGTCTGACCTGGGTGTAGACAGGTTCATTCTGGCTGCCAGGAAGACTCCAGGGGGCAGAACAGAAGCAGGGAGACCAGCTGCAGATGAGTGGACATCCACTGGGACCGAGGGGTGGGGAGCTCTGCCCAGGTGGGAGTGTGGAGTATACTGGAACTGGAAGGAGGAGCCTGTAGACCCAGGGGGCTGGATGTGGGTGGGAGGGCTGGGTGGTTCCAACGTTTGTGCTTCGCTCCTTGGCGGATGGCGTAGCTGCTGACTGGCATGGGGAGGGCTGGAAGAGGCACAGGGTTGGGGTGAGGAGGATCTTGGTGTTGGCCTGGTGATGGGCATCCCCTGTGTCCTGCGGGCCTGGCTCTTGGGTGCCCATGCCGGACACCTGCTTGCTTTTGTCCCTGGGTCCTGGCAGGTCACCATGACCTTTGAGAAGGGCTGGACGCTGACTGGCTGCGCCCCTCTGCCCCCGGGGCCTCCCACACACGGGGGATCCACACGGTGGGCAGCACTGTTGGTGCAGGAGGCAGGGCCAGCGAGGAGGCTGTGGGGGGCCGTCACCATCTGCTGTCAGAGCCAGCCCTCGGGGGAGAAGGCACCCCAGGGGTCCCAGTGACTGCCCGGCCCAGGACTGTACGTGGGAAAGGGGTCAGGGCCTGAGCTGTGGTCCCAGGCCTTGGGGGAGCTTTGTGAGGGTTTCTCCTTCCTCCTTTCTCTGCCCTCCTCAGCCAGGGGACGGGGGACACCTCTACCTTCCCAGAGCTATGGCGCTGGCATGGTGGGGGTGGTAGGGGCTCCGTGCCCGGGAGAACGTGACCGCTCAGCCTGGATCACCCTGTCTCCAGACCTGTGCTGAATGGGAGGCACCCGACATTCCACCACTTACACACACGGGTCAAGCTGTGCTCAGCTCCTGGGCAGAATGACCCCGAGGGCTCCCCGAAGGAGGCAGTCATCCTCCCGTGTGTGAGCACTTGAGGGCTGGAAGGGGAAGTGAGTGTGAAACAGAGAAATAGCTCCTTACCTCCTGCCCTCTTTGGGGAAGCCCTTTGGGCTCCCTGATCAACGGAGGATCAGTTTTCCATACTGTGGGGTGCAGGCTGGCTAGGCACTGACAGGGGTGATGCTTGCCCAGGTCTGGCCGGTGATTCCAAAGGGCCAAGGTGCTTCTCCACCCACATTCTCACAGGGTTTCAGAGCAGCCCCGGGACAAAGGTAGGGTCTGTTCTACCCATTGGATAGATGAGGACATTGAGGCCAGAATGAACCCATGGTCGGCTGCCAGGAGATCCGGGTTCAAGTCCCCGCTCCTTCTGTGGAGGGACCTGCATCAGTTTGGTGATCTCACGGGCTCTCCCAGCCCTGCTGTTAGGACTCGCCTGGAAGACAGCTTTTGTTGACGATATCCCTAGCTCTCGTACCCACTCCTGAGCCACTGGCAACAGTGACAGAGATCCAGCCGGAGGTGGGAGACCGGACCAGGTGCTTGAGGCGCCGGGCTTCGCTTCTTCCCGCAGCCCTCCTCGTGCTCAGGTGCAGGTCTGGCCGGACACCCAGCGTGGCCCGCAGGAGGCATCGCCCAGGGCCGACTTTGCAGTTTGCAGTGGGGGCCGTGGGGCCCATACCCCATCTCACCCAGCCCTTGCACCCACCCTGCACAGGACACACCGCTGCCTGCCCTTCGGGGAGGAAGAAACTGGGAACCTGAGAGGGGGTGCCTGCCAAGCTTGCAGGGCCAGGGCGGGAGGTGGGGCCCACACATATAACCTGGATTTGGCTCTAGCACCAAGCCTCTTGTGACAGCACAGGTGGGGACCCCCCTTTATAGGTAAACTTCTGAGGCTCAGAGGGGGTGCACAGGCCTGAGGCAGCATGGTGAGCCAGGACGGGGCACTGGGTGAACGGTGCTGGCAGGTTCTCTCTGATGGGGGTGGGGAGGCTCTCTGGGCTGGAGGGGGAGGGCAACTCTCCTCCCCTCTTTGAGCTCCCTGACCCCCACCCAAGCAAACAAAAATAAGCATTTATCTATTTGGTTTGTAAACAGCCCTCTCTACTGCCTGCTTTCCTAGACTTCTGTTTTGCTTTTGTAACTTGAAAGATAATTGTTCCAGGTTTTGTAACATTTTTATTATATGGTGACTTTTTAAAATAAAAACAACTTTGTCACAACCCTTGCCTGAGTTTGACTGTCTAGGATGATGCCTTGTTTGTACCAGGCGCTTATGTCTGGCTTAGGGTACAATCTGCCTTCCCTGAGCCCCTAGGCGGCTGGGCCGCCCCTGTGGTAACTGGTGCCCCTGTGGCACTCGACGCTCTCTCCTCCATGTCCACTGCCAAGCTCTGGTTCCCTGTCTTTTTCATTCTCTTCTCCTACGGCACAGAGTCAGTATTTATGGAATAAGGTAAGTTATACGACTGCCCAGTGCTTCTGTAATGAGTCAGCCCTATATCCATGATCACTTTTCATGATTGGAAATTATGAACAGTCTCAGGCTAGTTTGCGAAGTGTAATTATCCCATTCAATATGGGACCGCCCGGCCTCTCTGGGGTTGGTGAGTGTAGCTGTCTTAAGCAAGGCCTACCTCTAAGCAGCCCACATCATAAATGATAAGGGAATCTGCCTGCAAAGCAAAAATCCCCCCAAATTCTATTTTCTGACAATTTAGCATCATGGAAAGCATTCAAGAACTGCCCGAAGCTAACAGCCTGAATGCCATGGGCACCTTGGTGGGCTATGCGGTGCTGGACATGCCCTTTCCCCAAGGGGGCGCGGAATCAGGTGTCGGTTCATTGGACAGCCATACCCTGACCGCTCCAGGCTCGAGAGAGGCCAACGCCCTGGGTTTTGCTTATGTTGGCAGGTGGTCACTGCGAGTGGGACAGGAACTGGTGTGGGCCACAGGAGGAAGGTTTGGGGCAGCAAACATGGAGCCACATGCGCACACACAGGACATCAGGAGTGAGACTGAGACCTATGGTCTCACAAGAAGCCCAGCTTGCCCAGGGACGTGATTTCTACTGGGATCACTTGGGAGACCTCAGGACTACGGGGGAGATGTCTGTAGGCCATCAGCCTGAGTCTGGCATCCTTATCCAAGCTCGGCAAACAAATCCTAAAATGGTCGGACTATACAGAGGAAAGAACCGCAAAAGGCTTACAAGAGCCATCACTCCTCATTATTAAAGAGGGGTCTGATTCACCTCATCAGCGCCAAGTTCAGAAAGCAACCCCAGAGCTATCTCACACCGGGCCATGGGCCCGGGGCGCCCCTCCCCACACCAAGCAGAAGAAGGTCGGCCAGACTCCAACTCTACATTTTTGAAAAATTTATTTTATACCCTTAGAAGCTAAGAACTCTGCCACTCATGAACCAAATTTAGGATTAAGATTCTCCCCTAGTTTATCTACTTCCTTTTGAAATTTTATAAACAAGATTTTGTATACAAGAGGTAGCAGAGGAAAATTCCAGTCTGCTTGTTCCAAGCTCAAAAGGTAACTGCACACATCTCAAATGTTAGCGGGGGGGTGGGGGGTGGGGTGGGGCAAGACAGGGGAAGTCCGAGGACACGATGCTCTGGGTCCTACCATTTCTTCTAGTTGCCAGTGACCGTGTGAGTACTCCAGGAGAAGTCATGGGCAAGATACCCGCTGGGCTGCTCGTTTGTTTTCCTTCCCAGATGGCTCCAAGGGGCAGGCGTGGCACCCTACGGTTGGCCTCGCGAAGGGAGTGTCTTGAGAACACACAGCATTGAGTTAGTTGTGCAATTCCTACTCGATGTGCAGACCATTTTGAAAGGTTTATAAAAACATCTTCATCCAAAAAATCGGCAGTAAAAATGACAACTCTTCCAAGGTAAGCCTGTCATAATTGTCACTTTGTTGTACATTTAAAAAAAAGTCCTCAGCAGGTTTGTTGTAGACTGCAGCCGCTGGAAATCAAGTGGTTCCTGGCAAAGAGGAAGTGATGGTCATTGCAGCAACAACACAAACAAACTTAACCAGAGCGTATGATACACAACAGTGACGGGTGATCCTGATGGAGCCTTACAGTGAGGACAGCAGGTGCTGGGGGTGGTGGGAGGCTTTGTTTCCATAGGAAATAAGGACTAGAAGTGGCAATTTCACTCCTGAATTTGGGCTCCTGAGAGTGCAGTTGCCAGTGATGATATCCCAACACAGATCATCACTGGCATTTCAAGGTCATGTCCTACACAATCGTTTTGTGAGGATGGGGGTGGAGAGCAGGCTGTGGTGGGGGCGGTTAGGAAAACAGTAGGACATGGGAGTATTTATGAACTCAAAATCAATTTTAAAACATCACATTTGAAATTCCAAGAACAGCAGAACCATGTAAAATTTGCCAACTCCTTTGACCAATTCGCTGAGGGGGCAGTTCTGCTCTTAAATGTAGCCCCGTCTGCACAGTGTCCTTGACAATGGCCATTGCTAGGCTGTGGGGGCTGTAGACATGCATACAAACTGTGGTCCGGCTGCACAGTCACTTCAACGTTTAGTAGCGAAGGGGCTGGGGGCTGGAGTGCACAGCAGTGAAAGGTGCCTGTCGTATGTCCACACAATGCGAAAGCCACCAAAAAGGCACTTTGGGGCTGGCCACGCCTCTCTGACTTGGCAAATCTAACCAACAGGGGCAACCTGGCACTTCCTAAGCTTCCCTACGTGCACGGGGAGTTGGAAACAAGGAAGAACACATAACTAAAGGCAAAATGGGGTTGAAAATGTGTGTAGAAACTCAAAATACAAAATGTACAAAATATATGAAATACGTTGGCATATCCCCTTCTCCCCTCTGGAGAAAGGGAAGCTGGTTATTTAATCTGAAATGAGTGGATGGTGGTATACTTGGGAAATACCAACAAAATGGACAGTTGTTCAATTACTTTCTGGTTATTTCTGGGAAAATAAATCTTGTCTCTTTTCAGTGTTCATTAGTCATGTTGAAGAGAAACAGTCTCAAGTTCCTTCTCCGCATTAAAATTACAACTCACAGAGCAGTGCTTCTCAACTCAAATATTTAACTTCATTTACAACCAGTACCAAGGGTTTTAGTAATTATATTTTAAGCAAAAGCAAATGATTGCAGATCACATGATTTAAGACTACAGTTTATTCAATATGTCTCCAAGCATTAGAAAGATGATTTTTTGAAGTCAAACTCAATAAAATTATAATTTAAAGTGCTTTTTATTTTGCTGTTTTCAAAATTTGGGGAAAAATTCCGTAACTTCTTTAGTGATTGATGTCAAAGAATGCACCTTGTACTTCTGGGGGACTTTTTTTTTTTTTTTATTGCTCTTTTCAACCTCAATTATATCAGAAAAATACCTTAAAGAGCATAATAAATTTCCCAATTTTTGATCCTGGTAACATTTCATCAAGATCCAATTTTATGCCCAGGGCTCTCATCCTGACCTGTCTGAAATTTCTATACAAATAGGGAGACATATTAAATACAAAGGTCTGTGTAAACGGAGTTCTTTAACTACTATTTTACAATGAAAAGGAATTTTATCACCTATCTTTACATCATTTTAAATTGGATATTCCTATTCAATGTTACTGCAAGATTAAAAATTTGCCCCCCACATATCTAAAGGCAGCTTGCTTTTTTTTTTTTTTTAAATATAAAAACCAAAGGGATTTCTTTTGTAGCATCATAGGGAAAGCAACGGCTTTACCCCGTTCACTCTTGTATGTTCGTAACAAAAAAAGTCTGCCACCGGCTTTATTTCCTAGGATCTCCACAGAAACGTGAATCCCCGTGCGGACTGTGCCCCAGGATGGCTGATCCGGGGGCAGGAATTCTCCCACTGCCAAACAGCTCCTGAACCTTCTCCAGGGGCCAACAGTGCCTTCTTTAAAAACACACACTCCTCTGGGATCACAGCAGGCCCCCCTAGTCCAAGCTTCGGGCTCTTCTAAAGGGCTCAAGGGTGAGAATCTGATTTCCAAACAGCGCTGAGCACCCGGGAACTGAGCTGACTCCTCACTGCGCGCTTGGTGTGCCTGCTCCTCTAAGGATCCACGTCGTCCAGGTCACTTCTCAACTCGCCTATCATCATGGGGGACTCTGAACCCTTTGAAAAGAGAAGGAAGTTCACTTCATGCATGGTAAAGTTAGAGAAAAGTTTCTCTGCGTCCACTGACTTGTGTTCGGTAAACGAGTGCATTGAACAAGTGAAAGTTTATCAAAGGATAATAAAACAGAAATGTAACACCTTATATTTGACGATTCCCGATTATGCACAACTCTCATTTCCATGTTTTCCCAGTCACTGAAGGCACCCAGCGACCTGCCTCAGGTCACCAGGCTACTAGGCTACAGTGCTGCAGTGCTTGTGAGAACTCAGGGGGAGCATTGTGATGGGGTGGATGTGCGCCGGGCACTGCGCCACTCTGCCGGAGACGGCTCTGGGTCACTCCTGGATTCTGCTTCTGTCACCAGCTGTGTGGCCTTTGGTTTGCACACTAACAAAGTTCTGAATGCCTGCCGTGTGTCCTGGGGCTGATCTAGCTGGCAGTGGGGGTGGGGAAGGAACAAGGAGTCTCTGCAAAGTGACACATAAAGCCCAGTGGGAGATAGACCCGGGGGTGGGGGTGGGGGAGGCCCAAGGTGGAAGGAAAAAAAGGGCATTTGTTAAACTATAAGAAGGCCACTGGTATCCAGAAGTCAGAAAATGAAGGGGCGGAGGTAGGCAGGGGCCACATCAAGCAGGACTGTGCTGAAGATTCTGGCCTTTACCCTGACAGCAATGGAGAGCCATCGAGGGTTTAAGCAGATGAAGCAGAGGGAAGCAAGAGCAAGGCAGGGAGTTCTCACAAAGCCCCAAGACACTAAGGTGCTTAGGCCAATGTAACAGATGCATGGGAGAGATTTAAATGGTCAACCTGGCAGGACCGGTGAGTGGACTGCAGCGTGTCCGGGGCACAGGGTGCTGTTTGTGATAAGGACACGGAGGGAGGCCAGCTCCGGTGGGGGCGGGCGGAGGCATGGGGCATGGCGGGTGTGAGGTGTCTCTGAGGAAGAGAGCTGTCCTGTGTGGCACCTGCAAGAATCAAGGTGGTGGAGATGGAGAAAGAACAGCTGGAGGGGTTGGAGGAAAGCTGGGAGAGCAGGGTGCCATGGAAGCCCCGGGAGAGAGTGTTTCCAGAAGGGAGGAGTGGCCACCAGGGTCAGATGCTGTGCAGCGCTCCACCACGATGAGGCCTGAGAAGTGTAGGCTACTTGTCACCCGACCGCTGAGCCAGCCACAGGGCGGGGAGCCAGCCTGGAAGAGGTCGAAGGAAGAGGGAGAGAGAAGAAACTGCAAGTCTGGACCATTCTTTGGAGAAGTCTGGCTGTGGAGAAGGGGAAAGAAGGCAGGGGATAAAAGGGAAGAAGAATTTCTTTAAAAGGATAAGGGAGAGCGGAGTGTGTCGCAACACTGCAGGAAGGGATGTGTGGAGAGGGAGTGGTCGGGGGGTGTGCACACGTGTGCACACACACTGGCACGGGCTGAGTCTGGCGGCCGCAGGAGCTTCTGTCCGACAGCCATTATGTTCTCTGCAAATAAAGTAGGCGAGGAGGTAAGCTGCTGAGCACCATCCCGGGTTAAACTGCATCACATTGCTGAGCTTCCACGTCCCTTCTGGAAAGTCGGGGTTAACAGGGACCTCACAGGGTGGTTATGAGGATCTGAAAGGTTAAAACAAATAGCACAGACAACATCAACAAGATTCATTTAACCAGGCCTCTGTGCCAAGCACTGTGGTGGAACTCCAGAGACCACCCTCTCGGCACACACCATTACCGGTACGCCTGCTTCACCAGTGAGCGTTCCATACATATACTTCATTCCTTTGCCCACTAGACTGAGCAGTACTGAAAATGTTCATTTTATTTTTTTTTAATAAGCTTAAAGGTATTGACTCCCCTGACAAGTGGGTTATTTCAATGGCCCTTCAAGGGTCTGTTTCCAGGAAGGCTGGAGAGACAAAGGTGGAGGGGGTGATTTGTGGCAACCCGGCAGAATGAAGAGAACCCGCTGGGAGGAACGCCGCTGCGGCCTGGCTTTATCAGGCTCAGCGCCGAGGCGACAGTGCTGCCCACCAGAGCCTGAGGCCAGAGCCTCGTGGCAACTTTACTCGGCAACACTGTTCCACTCTGGAAGCACACTGCTGGTGAGCCCCGGACAGGGAGCACTAGAGGGCGAGGCTGGTGTCTCCTTTTTTTCTTGATTACGGAAATTCTTTTTGGAAAACTTGAGAGCAGGTGGTGCCCTTTCCCATGAGGACGTGGGCCACTGCTATACCTGCTGTAAATGCCTCTCTCCGTTCTCATTGGCGGGACTGCTCTCCGACCCGTTACTGCTTCCCGATTGCTCTTTCTCATTCAGCAAAGCTGTGGCATAGGCTAACGTGTCCTGTGAAGAGATTGAAACACAAGAGGAAAAGTCAGGGGGTGTGCGGTGGCAGCAGTGCCACCAAAGAAGACAACCCTTCACTTGATTGCTGGAGGCAGCGGGAGCCTCCAGGTGGTGCCCGCCCAGCAGCCACCAGCGCGCCCCCCAACCTCTGTGACCCACACTACTTTTCTTCTGGCACATAATTTGCCAACTGCCCAACAACATGCTGTCTTCACAGAAATTCGCCTCTTCTGCCCCTTCTCATTTTTTTTTTTATTTTTTATTTTATTTATTTATTTTTTTAAAGATTTTATTTGAGAGAAAGAGAGAGAATGAGAGATAGAGAGCACAAGAGGGAAGAGGGTCAGAGAGAGAAGCAGACTCCCCACTGAGCAAGGAGCCAGACGCGGGACTCGATCCCGGGACTCCAGGATCATGACCTGAGCCGAAGGCAGTTGCTTAACCAACTGAGCCACCCAGGCGCCCTCATTTTTTTTTTTTTTAAGATTTTATTTATTTGACGAGAGAGAGAGCACAAGCAGGCGGAGCGGCAGGCAGAGGGAGAAGCAGGCCTCCTGCAGAGCAGGGAGCCCGATGCGGGGCTCGATCGCAGCACCCCTGGGATCATGACCTAAGCTGAAGGCAGACACTTAACTGACTGAGCCACCCAGGCGCCCCAGCCCCCTCTCATTTTTAACCTACACCTCTTGTCTCGGAGGCTGTGGCTTCTGAGAAACACACTGAAAATCCTACCTATGGGATTTGAAGCCATGCAAAACCAAAAGAGAAGCCTCACCTGAGCTGAAATTGTTCGCTGAAAGGTTTTTCCAGTTGATGTTTCATTAGAGACATTACTCTGTGGTGTCCAATAATGTTCTGACATCTGAGACGGAAGGTCAAAAACGCCATCAGACACGACAAACAAGCCCACGTGAGTATCTGAACATAAAAAGCATCTAACACGGCACACAGATGGACCCAGATCTATCACACCGGGAGGATTTTACGTCCACTCTCGAGTTCAGTGAACCACCAGGTCTCAGACATTCACCCCTGCTCTCTCACCTATGAAGTTCAGACACTGTATCGACACATGAACTTCATGCGTAGAGATAGGTATCAACTGTACTGAAAAAAGTTGGAAGTCTGAAAATAACTCTGAGGCCAGTCTCCAAATGAAGAGATTTTCCCTGACAAGATGTGCTGTTACTGATTCCTGTGTGACCGCCAGCAAAGCTGGAGCTGCAGTTAGTTACCTTCTTCTGTAGCCACTGCACCGCCCAGCTCCAGTGGTGGGAGTTCTCCTTGAAGTAGTCCTTAGCAGCAGGGCACCTGGGGGGGGGTTGTATGAGCCAAATGCGTTCCTTGCAAATATACTTGTTTCATCTACACTACCTTTTGATTTCGATACACAGATGCAACTTTCACTAAAGTTCAGTTGTATTTCTATTGTTTTTACTTGTTTTGGTTTGGATACACTCCCGTGTGTAAACTTCGAGAAGCAGAAAAAGGTAAATATGTAGTGAAAAGTCTCTGATCTAGAACGACCTCATCCACTCAGTTCTATCACAGTTCAAAGACGGAAACTAAAAAATAAAACAAACAAAAAAAACCCCCCACAACACATCATCTATTTAATAAGAGAAATGATTCTTAAAAGAATCAAACTGGTCTTTAAATTTTTGTGATTTGAATAAGAATATTAGTGGAAAAACAATTTTAAAGTGTGGTCCTGGAGCCCTCTCTGCATTTTTCCTTGCCCACTTGGAAAGCTGTCCTTCACATTCAAAGACAGTATTGATGGCGACACTGTGTATAGAATGGAGGGATGGAGGACACGCATCAGACATACCATGCGGCCCCATCACGATTTGGAAATGCCACTCAGGCAAGTACTTATGCTGTCACGCTGCCAACATCAAGCCTAGTTAACGCACCCACGATTGTGGTAGGATGGTCTCCATCTGTGTCCACAATGCTATGTCATCTGGAAAAGGCACGTTCACGCATTACTTCGACCAGGCTCTCAATTCATCTGCTGAGGACACTCACATGCAGCAGCTGAGGCTCAACAGATTTCTTACTCTTATTTTGGCACAAACCCAAGGATGGCAATTCCCATGCTTAAGAGTCAGTAAAAATCTGGAGCAAAATCAGTGACGCTTATAAGGAAGGCTGGGTGCGGACTCAGTGGCAGCCACGCACTGCTGGCCCACATACTACCCAGTGGAGTTTGAGGCAGCAAGCCACTAAGGCCCCTTCTAACAATGAGAACCTTTGCTTTCCATGTGGCTGTCGACTAATAAATGGACCAAGACAACGTGGTACAGCCGTACAAGGGGGTGGTATTCAGCCTTAAAAAAGTAAGCAAGTTCCGGCACAGGCTAGAACACGGATAAACCCGAGTGCCTCAGGCTAAGTGAAATGAGCCAGGCACAGAAGCACAAGTCCTGCACGATTACCCTTAGGGGAGGCACCTGGAATCGTCAAATTCATAGAAAGCAGAAGGGTGGCTGCTGGGGGGAAGCAGGGGTGGGAGTGCAGGGTTAGTGTTGGGTGGGGACAGAGCTTCAGTCTGGGAAGATGAAGACGTTCTGGAGATGATGGTGTGACGGCTGCCCAATAAAGTGAAGGGACTTATTAATGCCACCGATGGGGGTGCCTAAAGAGGGTTAAGACGACAGACATGATGTTGCGTGTAGTGTGCCACCGTTAGATAAAGAGCGAGCCTCTGCCCTGAAGGCCGTGAGCCTGTGCTGCAGCCCTCGCTCCAACTACAGGCACGGCCCTCACACCGCCCGTGACATGGGGCTGGCAGTCTGGCCTCACAGAGCCGGTGCACACATTAAATGAGAGAGCACAGTGCCTGGGGTCACGAGTCGAAGGAGCTATGACATGTTCTGTCTCTTGAGAGACTGTTTTGAAAGCGGGGACCTAGAACCTGACGTACGTGGTAGTGAAGCTACATTACTGAAAGCTATCTCAAACCAAAGTTCATGAACTCTTGCTGGGAAGGTACCCGAATCTGCTTTGATTCCTGCGTTTCCTGCACAAGGCCTTCTGATTTAGCCTTTTTCTTGGATTCCATAAAATCTGCGGCTCCTCTGACACCTCTCTTCACATCTCTTCGAGATCACGTGACTGGGTTTCCGAACCATCCAAGCAAGCATGCCCTGAGTCAGACTCTAGGAACTAAACCAAGGGAGACTGGTTTCCCGGTCCTATCTGACTTGTAACTGAAGACACCAGTTCCTCCCTGCATTCTGAGTCGATACTTACTTTTGAGCAAGAGTTACGAGAAATTTGACGCACTGGTAGCAGCGACTGCTGTCCACATGGTTGCTGTGGTGCATCAGGGCTGAGTGAAGAGAAGAGGGAATTGTGAGAAGAAAGCATGACACGGAAAGTGGGTCCCAGTAATGCCACTTTCTTCTCCTGAACATTCACAACCAACTGGTTTGAGTAGCAAAGAGGGCACTTAACACAAAGCATGGCAGTGTGGCTCAATAGGATCCCCCAAATTGTAATGGGCAGAGACACTGCTTTCAATGGTATTCCAGAAACATATGTGGCAGTGGGAGTTTGATTTTTGGAAGAACTGAAGAGAAGCTCAAACCTCCACAGCTGATTATTCACTCAGACCTCTAAACTTTTCCATGCTCCTGACAGAAGAGCGGTTACAACACTTTCAGTTTGATAAATGGAAATTTATGTTATGTGTTAGGTTCAACAAATGCTTACTCTCTGTGCTTTGTGGATATAAAAAGAAATAATCCTTGGTGTGGACTCTTGAGGAGCGTATGGTCTGGAAGTTCTGGCGAAGCTGGGCGCCACTTGGTGGCCTGCAATGTTGCAGCTACACAACTTTTTAGCTCACATTACTTTGCTGCAATAAGAAGAGGTCTTCAATCTCTTGCCACAGAGCAAAATCTAAAATGACTCAGATTAACTGGAAATACTGGTGGGGTGGTGGGTGTTGGAGAGGACAATTTCTAACCACACTTTTTCTAAGAAACAGCTCATTAAAGGCACTTTAGCCTTCTGAAAAAGAAAACTGCAAAAAGCTTTTATGAGTAGATAAGAGAAATTTGGATGTATTAATACCACAGGTAAAAAAATAAAACCAATCCCATTTCATGAGCTTGACAACATCCTGAGCCTAAGGTTTTAGTTTTTCCCTCCCTAATGGCTGCAGAGGGGATTGAAAGATTTCTGGCATCAGAAAGTAGCCTTTAGCTTGTTGAAAAAAGTCATGGCACCCCTAACTCTTAGCTGACCCAGTAACAGGACCCCGAGCTGCACTTTGCTGACTCGGGGGGAGAGAGTCCAGCTGGTAAGATCCTCTGGTGTCACATCTCCTGACCGGAACGTGGGAGCCCACGGCCCCAACAGGCCTCTCCCGGAGCCCTCGCTGACCTGCGCCGGGGCCGAGTGCCGGGGCAGACCAGTCGGGGAGGAGGCCAGCCAGAACAACAGGCTGTCTGTGCGTCTGCTACAGACATTTCTCAGGAAGGCCAGGCTACTTGCCTAATAATCCATTTTCTGTCTCAAATACAAATTTGACTCGCTCCACTTGTATGGGATCTTCAATGACCTGTGACAGAAGGAGACAAAGACTGGTAAATGAACGAAGGAACTTGTATGAGACCATGTGGTGTCTTTTAAAAATGATTCTGTTCGGGGCGCCTGGGTGGTTCAGTCGTTAAACGTCTGCCTTCGGCTCAGGTCATGATCCCGGGGTCCTGGGATTGAGCCCCGCATCGGGCTCCCAGCTCTGCAGGAAGCTTGCTTCTCCCTCTCCCACTCCCCCTGCTGTGTTCCCTCTCTCGCTGTGTCTCTCTCTGTCAAATAAATAAAATCTTAAAAAAAAAAAAAAGATTCTGTTCAAGAGATTAATTTAGTTCCTAACTTAACAAAACCCAATATACACGAACAACAACATGTCACTGGCTTGTATCTCAACAGTATCTTAAATATTATTTTATTATTTTATTTTAAGTACAATCTACTCCCTGATGTGGGGCTCGAACTCATGACCCCAAGATCAAGAGTCACATGTTCTACTGACTGAGCCAGCTTGGCGCTCCTTAAATTTTAAACTAAAGATGAAAAACTATTAAGTAATAGTTGAAGACGCATTCATTTCTTATCTCTGTGTTCTTACTTGCTACCTCTATAGTTCTCCATAGGAAGCTACAGTAGGCTACAAGGATGTATATTTCATGATCCCAAGGATAAGAGGTTTAGGGTCTAAATTGTTTACCAAGACCATGTTGGAGTTTTGCTCCGATACAGGCTCTAGCTGCTGCCAGGAGGTTTATGCCACGCCCCACAGGGCTGAAACTGTCCTGCTCATGACTGGACTTCTACTGCCTGGCACTGACCTGTGCGCAGGGCAGTAACGTCAGTGGTTTGCTGCTGAGCAAACAATACACACTCCGACTCCTGAGGAGCAACGATCTTTTGTATTTTATAAAAGTATTAGGACCAAAAAGGAGGTAAAGGACCAGAGATAGGCTTTTTACAAATGCCATCCATGATGTTTGTCCTTGTTCAGAAGGGTTTATTAAATGCTCACTCTGTGCCCAGGCCTATGTTAAGTCTTAGGGACCTAAAGGGAACCTGGTCTCTCCCTCTGCTTAGTGAGCCTGGGGCTGGGCGCTCATCGGCTCACACCCAGTCACCAAAGTCTACGGTTTCTCTTTCCCAAACACATGGAGACCACACCTATGTGGTCTTCCAATTCCAACCTGGCTTCCTTCTTCAGTCAGTCCTTCAAAACAAGTGCCAGCGGAACCTTTCTAACCTAAATCAAGTCACGTCACTCTCCTGTTAAGGCCTCCCCATAGTGCCCATCAGTGACGGCAGAGGTTGCAACTGAAACATCTACAGAGGCCAGGATGACAAGAAACGGACAAAGTGGGCTAGGTACAATGATATGGGGCAGCGAGGACAGAGGGCGACTGGGTAGCACGTGCCTCATCAGAGGGGGCGAGCTGACTGCTCTAGGGGATGGGGGCAGGTGCGAAACGGGGCCGATTCATCACACTACCTGGTTTCTCAGGATAGGCCAGAAGCCAGAAATCATAAAACAGAACAACTCTGGGTCAAATATAATAGGCATAGAGACAGAACCTGCCCACCTGTGTGCAACCAGGGGCCTAACGGGAAAAAGCCCACGTGCTCTGGGTAACTGGCAGCCTTTCATGATCTGGTCTGGGCTTTTCTCCCCAAGCCCTCCTCAGTTCCCTCTTCTGGTCATGCCACTTATGTACTTACAGTCCCTGCACACAAGCTCTGGGGCCAGCTGCCTGGCTCAAATCCTGGCTCTGTCACTTTAATTCAAGGGTGGCCTTGGGCATATCCCTCTTCACTCAGCATGTCCACTGCTTACAACTGAACTTTCCCCTGCTTTTCATACTTCTGAAACTGGGGCACATCCTACAGTCAATTACATTCCAGTTTTGTGGCTTGTAAGCAGTATTTTTAGTAGCCCACATAGAGAGCCAATGGTGTCTTAGATTCGAACGAACTGTAGAGCCAGCAATTTACCTCTGATGGTTATCATGAGGTTTAAAGGGGACGATGTCTGTGCATAGCACGGTCCCCCACGCAAGGTGAGGCTGTCCACGCTCCCTGGCTCTCTGCACTGTCCCTCCTGGACTTGTCCAGCTCCCTCCCTGGTCTCCTACCACTCACCTCTCAGCCAGTAATGACAAAAACCTGACTGGCCTAAAGAGGACTCATAAGTGCAGACCAAGTGAGTGCAAAATGACACAAAGGCACACACTTTTCTGTTTACAAACACGTGCTGACTAGTAAACTTAATCAACAACACAAGAGGATCAGAACATCTTTCACTTACCAGTATCTCATGAAGCAGTTGGAATGTATTCTTTAACTCATGGGGTGGAGCTGTTTCTAGTTGGTTCTGTAATATTTTTTAAAAGCATAAAGATTCTGGTGAGTCTTCAGTGGAAAGCCCGTCAGAGCGGCCAGCAACGCCGCTAGAAGAACCAAGCAAGTAGAACCAAGTTCTACTTCTAGCACTATCACTTGCCCCTGCTGGGCCTCAGCTTGCCCGAATGCTAAACCTGGGGCTAATGCAGTCTCCATGGACTGCAGCACTGCCACGCTGTCCCACTTGACTATGACATTAGGAAGGAGAGAGGAAGAAAGACAGAAAAGAAAGGAAAGAATTTCAAGTGAACAGGCCCAAATTTCTGTTTCTGTTTCCTTCATACATATCCTGTTCTGTTTTCCAGGATATGTGCTCTGGGCTAAGTACGCTATGAGGGATGTATGTTAAGAAAAGTCAGCTTATGACACAGAAAACTCTGCCAAGAGTTCCTTTCTGCTAAAGAAGGCGTGAGGGTTCCTAAGAGTCACACTTCTGTGCACCTGCAGCCTCGTGCCTGTGTACTGCGGGAGAGGACGCGACGTTACAATACCGCCCTTCCGAGGCGCCAGGGCCACCGCATCTTTACCCTCTGTGAAGTCAAGTCATACCTCCCCCCACTTTATAGACGAGGAAATCGCCTGAGGTCACATAATGAGTGAAGGGTAAGAAGAAAAACTCAATCACCTCTGATACGGGGCTGCACGGAAAGAGGCTGAAGGCAAACACATTTTCCTAAGAAATGTGTTTCCTGCCTAAGAAGGCAAACACGATTTCCTAAACACACAGTCCCCTGATCAGCTGCTGCCTGTTCGTGCTACCTGTGTCACTATTACAAATCCCGGGGCAGGCACGAAGCGTGGCAGAGATCCCGTGGGCAGGGACGACTATAAACAGTGTACATTCACAGACAGAGGCCTGCAAGGACACATATCCAGGTGACAGTACTGATCCCTGGGGAAGGGCGGACAGGGGACAAGGTTGGTTGGTGGCAGCTCAAGTGGACTTTGGCCTTATTTGTAGGTTTTAATTTTTCACAAAAAAAATGCAGACAGGTATTATCCATGTAATTCAAAATTAAAGATGAAAAATTAAAAAAAACAAAAACCTAATAAAAATATGTGCAGTTTTTCTGGTAATCCCCAGAAAGGCAGTGAACAACATGGTTCAGAGCACAGCCCTGGAGCCAGACTGCCAATGCTCAAATTCCCACTCTGCCACTTACTAGTTGTGTGACACGGGGCGAGAGTCACTTACTCTGTGCCTCAGTTTCCTCAACTGTAAAATGGTGATGATAACAGGACCAAAATTGGAAAACCATTTTACATGATAATGGTCACCACAGCATATCATTAACTATGAAATATGTTCTAAATAGTTAAATATTGAGCCCAGTACAAACATGCCTCACTAGGAAGGGAATGGCTAAGTAAATTATGGTACACAAGAAGATGACATATCCTCAGAGGTAACTTAATGATACGGGGAAATACTTCTAATGTCAAGTGAAAAAAAAGACAAAGAATCCCAAAGACAGTAGAATTCCAACGCAGAGAAAATAAAGGGAGACCTGGGAGAATGTTCATGGTGATTATCAATGAATGGTGAGACTCTGAGTTCTTTCTATTCTGTATTTTTTTTAAAATGAGCCTGTGCTATTTTTATGATTTTAGGGAAAGCAACCGAGGTTATTAAAAGAAGCCTATTGCCTGGAGGCGGAGGAATACTTCCTGGCGTCTCCGTGGCAGGCTCTCAGCTCTTGCCAGGCCTCACTGAGGCCCTACCTTAATGAAATGCAGCACGGTGAAGGAGAGATGCTCATTACAGAAACAGCAGTACACCACCATCTCGATGAGCGCCAGGAGCGAGCCCGTCAGCTCTCGCAAGGCAAACATTACCTAGTGCGGGAGCATAAAAGGAGTCAAGTTTTCTTAGGTCACAGTTAACTGTCGATCTGTTGTTTCTGATTTTAACGGAAATGTACTCAGACTTAAGATCTTCAACATCCCCTCAAAATAGGCTTTCTTTAAAACTGCTATGGGACTAAGTCTGTCTGAACAAAATCTGCAAAGGTGCACTTTTTCCCGTGAGTCACTTTCATCAGATTTTCAAAGGGAAATGCGCCAAATGTATGCCCCCAGCAATAAATTAAAAGAATCACGGACAGATCCCCAAAGTAAACAATGTTAAGCTAAAAAAACTTAAAAAAAAAAAAAAAAGAGATACATAGCACAGCACTATTGACATGATTAAAAAACCAGCGTGACACACGGCTCATGGGTTTATACATGTAAATCAAGTTTTGGAAGAAGAACTGGAGGATTAAGTTCTCAAGAGGAGGTAGCTCTGGGCAGAAGGGGAAGGGGCCCAGGCTGCAGATGGGCCGCACAGTGTGTGGTGCAACGGACGGCCGTGAGCAGCCCACTCCCACACTCCTGCGGTTTATAAAGTACGTGTGCTCCAGAGTTGTGGTATTCCAGGACCAGAGACACACACAAAAGATGGGGAACAAGATCCTCTGAGAGTAAACTGAGTATCTGTGATTGCTGAAGAGTCGTTCACCTCCTCCTGAGACCTGGAGGGGAAATTAGCTGGGCTGGACCAGGAGGTCCGATCCCTGGTTGCAGAGAGGACTAATAAAAATTCTCTTCAGCTGCTCATTTCTTTCTGACATATACCCAGGAAGAAATATTAATTTGAAAGAACCATTTCTCTTAACATCACAGTGACACATGGAATATTACAAAAGGCATTTTTCCTCAAGTAGACAATGACAAGAAAAAAAAAGGCTCCAGAAAACCAAGTACATACCTCTAACAGGTAAGGCTTTCCTTCAGACAGGAACAACAAGGCCTCTACTTCCTCGTGGAGGGGCAGCAGGGGGCTGGAGGGGGCGACACTAATGGGTGGCCGTTGTTTAAACATACCAGGAGCTTTAGGAGACCAAAGAAACCAAGCCTGTCTCAGTTGATGTTATTTCATGAGAGAGACACCTACAAGGTGAAGCGGTTCTCTAGAGATTCACACATGAGATGGCTCGGTACTTAGAGCCTGTTCCCTTACGGCCTAGTGGGGAAGCCGGGCACGCAGACAGGAGAAAACATGGACCTACTTCTCGCAGTGTGTGCCTAAGTTGTCGGGGTGACTATTTAGATCTCCCAAGACAATCTTTCACAGAAGTAAAAATATAAATAGTGTATGACAGAAAATGCCCAAATGCCTCTGAGGAGACACCAGACAAGACACTTGTTGCTCCAACAACTGCCCTCAAATACTGGCCATCACCACCTATGCTAAGCAGAACTGACCCACAGGGAGGGGGTGAGTCACCCCACGTACTAGAAAACAAGCACCTGCACTCTTTCTTTTACAAACCTGTCTGCACTCCCAAGTTAGGTAGACAGCCTTGTCTTTTCAAGTGTATGAGTCAGAGTGAAGGAAGCATACTGCCTCATAGCCACTGAGCGCTCCCCAGAGCACAGCGACGCTCTGTGATTTCTAGCAGATCTTCCTGGTCACACCACATGAACGCCTGCCACAGTTGCTGGTGGTCAGAGGCATGCCTCACATCCTGCGCCCTATGCTGCTTCCCAGCTGAGGCCTGTGCAGGCTACGAGCCTGGCCATGCTCTGGCTTCCCCGTATGTGGAAGGGGACGATGCCTCACAGGCTTGCGGAGAGGATTAAACACATAGCCCAGAGCTCCATGGAGACACAGCACACAGAAAACCCTGGATACTTTTCAGCTGCTTTGTTGTGTTATTATTATTATTGCTGTTGGTGCTGTCCTGACAAGGCCTAGAAGCAGTATAAAAACGTGCTACGCACATAGATTGGAACACTGGATAAGCATGGAGGCAACATGTAAATCAGCTGCACAAAATGAGGACTGAGCTACTGACTTTGGGGGACAGAACAGGAAAGGTACCAAATACATCTTACATTCAAACACATTTCAACGACATAAGCTACATCTGAATCCTCTTTAGCTCTACAAAGTACTTTAACATTTTATCTGATTAGTTCTCATTACACTGGGGAATTATGTTTTTAACATTTCCATTTTGTACTGAGGATCAGAAAGGTCAGGTGGCTTGGTCAAGTTCACAACGCTAGGAAACTCCAACCCACACTTGGCTATTTTCCCCACTAGATTAGCCGTGCCAACTATGGTGATGAATGAACTCTGAATTAGCCTCTAATCCCAGAGTGTTTTTTTAACACTTGTATACCCCATCCCACCAAATAAACGATTTGACTGTCTCTTGTGACGAACTAATAAAATAGAGTGAAATTTAACTTGCATTAAAACAAAAAATTTTAAAGTGTTCCTCAAATATCAAATAGCCAAATGGGAAGTAATATTCATTTAACTGCTAACATTATTAGTCTCCATGCATTGCATTATCGACAAATTCATTTTCTCATTCTTCTGCTGGATTAAAGATATGTGAAAGCTCACCAACGTTCCTTTGGGACGAGACATCTGAATGCAAAACCAGTAATGCCACTGTATTATGAAGATTCCCAAATTCTCGTGCTTGTGCTGAACTCCACCGACGTATCTGTCGACAGAGAAGATAGACTGGATGTTAGAGTTTTGGTTAGAAACGATATGAAAAGGAAGGGAAAGGATGGGCTGGCTCATGCTATTTTGAGCCATGATTCTTCTCAACGTTTGATAGTAGAAGAGATCAAAGTAGAAGGAAGTCACGGGTTTTAAGCTAGCTGAAGAGTGTTTTTTTCCTATAGACACATTAACTTGTGTTCTAAAATCATTCCATTTCTCTATTCAAGTTAGGTACTGAACGCTTCTGATGTGCTGGGTAACTTTCCTGTATCCCAGTACGATGGGAAAAACCCGGGAGGCTGGGGAGCTGGTGGCCGGGCCCTCCTGTGCTATTCACCGTGCTAGGTGGATGTGGGCAAGCTTTTTACCGTAATTGCACCTAACCTCTCCATGCAACGTTAGAGAGGACCTACCTGCCCACTTCGTGGTTGTGAGGATCCAACGAAACACGAAAAGTGAAAATGTTTTCCACATTATGTGTGCTCCATAAAGGTAAAACAATATGGATTATGTAGCACTATTAATTACATTAAATCTTATTTAAATTACAGTCAACGTCAATCAACTGCCAGTGTCACTGGAGTCCCAGAAAGGAAAGAGTGTGCAGTGAACAAAGACACTGTGAATTTCAACACCCTACCTACACACAGAGCGTGCTGTGTTGGCAGTACTTGGGAGTGCTGGGGAGAGCAACAGGCGGAACGACAGGAGGCTGAGGGGAGCCCCTCAGAAAGGAACACGTGCCGTGTACACCATGTGTTATGGAGGGGGGAAGGCGGAGGTGGGTCTGAGTCCCTGCTCCACGATGCCTTAGCTCTGTGACCTTACACGAGTCACTTCTCTGAGCTCTGAGGCTTGCTTGAGAATGGGGAGGAAAATGCTCATCTTACTCAACTACAGCAGGCATGGCGCGTAAAGTAACCAGCGTGCCTGGGGCACGAGAGGTGCTGCGTAAGCAGCGCTTACCATCAGTGCACGGTCACATTTTTCACATTTAAATCTGTCAAACAGAGGACATACGGTGATGGGAGAAACATGCCAGCACAGAAACGCCAAGCAGGAGAGCCATCCTGGGATCTAGCTAGCTCCACTGCCACAGACAACTTCCCTCTCGCTGTATGTGGACAGGCATCGCGAGGCCACACCGCTCTGCCTCGTGGCCGCGTCCCCCCCCCCCCCATTACAAGCTCCCCCACACCAGCAACCTCCGCCGGTACGGCCTTGCCCATAGTCCCTGAGGGCACGAGGAGGCCCCAGTGCCTCTACTTCCTGAAGGCTTCTGCAACCCCCTAGTCAGAGCCCATCTTTCCTCCTAGGACACTTTTTGACTGATAGTCTCGTTAGTCATTTCCATGGTATCTTCAGACTAAACTCTGCCAGGAGGCTGTAAAAACAATCGCAGTCCAAAGAACTTTAAAAGCTATGTAGTACCAGCACCTGGACTCTTATGAGGTGAAGTATGTTCATCGCCACAGAGAGAAACCATGAGGCAACAAAACCATGGCCATCGCACGGGGCCATAAAGCAGCGGGCGTTACCTGGTTGTTTTGCCGGTTGGCCCCGAGGAGAAAGCTGGTCATGTGTCTCAGAGCGGAGTGCCTCAGAAGAAGATCCCCGGCCCGGATACCTTGCTGTCACAAGATATGGACAATGACAAGTTACAGGTCTATCCCGACAAAAATCTGTATTAAAAACACAGTTAATCGAGAAGTTGTCAGGGGTAAGTTTTTAAATGCTGTAATTTACGTACAGGAAGTACCTGTTAGAACTCTGGGGTTTCAACAAGCTCACACGGCTCCGCAGTGGCTGCTACACATGCACTGAGGCCCTGGTCCTACTGCAGCCTCCCGCTGCCTTCAGTAACTACATTTGCTGTATCAGAATTCTGGCAAGCAACAGAGCCCACAGATGCAAATTCTTAAGAGACCCTCATGAAACCTTATCTTTAAATCCAGTATTGACCAATACAAATTTTTTCCATGTATAAAAAATTCCTTTGGACTAGAAATCTGCTCTATTAGGAAAAGATACTAGAAAAAAATCACTTACCTTTTGTACAAAAGTGTTGAATAGGAAAAAGTACTGAGCACAGTTTTTACAGTTTTCTGGGACATCTTTATCCAACAGAGCAAGTAGTACCTCCAGTAACTGATGAAGGCTTTTTAACTGGTTAGAAGAAAGATGAAACCACGTAAAGAAAAAGAATGTAAGACCGACATCTGTAACAGAGTTAATCTGAAGTAAATCACCGTAAGAACAAAAGTCAAGTCTGATCGATACAATCCAGTCTCAGATTCAGATGGATTTATGCTTTGGGAAGCAAAAACAGAATCATCACTTTATGTTCCAGGGAAAGACTGGTACTGTAGAAACCATTAAGAGGAAAGCCTAGTCTTGTTTTCTAGATTTCAGACTCCAGGGCAGGACTCCATGGCTAATGGCCACATTTTCTGCAGAGCCAATTTCTCTCTGTGTCTTAAAAGAAAGCAGGGGGTTTAGAGGAAAACTTCTGAATCCCTCCCTCCACTATGCTACTTCTTCACATAATCACAGATGCAAAGAATAAAAAACACAGACACAGGCATAGGGGCCAGAAATCAAGCCAATGGAGCAAATGGAGAGCAACAGCCTGACAGAATGACAACGGCAATATCGACTCAACCGTGAACTTACTTGAAAGCCCGCTGACGCCTCATGGAAAGCTTTGAAAAACATTTTATTTGTTTAGAAACCATTTTGGTTATTACATTGCTTCTTCTTTCCCTCCCACCCCAAATGGTTTTGGACAAGTCCCTAGAAATGCATCTGTGACTGGAGAATTAAGACCAGCTTACTACGCTTGTTAGTTCATCTCCCCTGAAGATGGTGTTCACAGGCTTCTGAAATATTCCCATCTGTCCTGTCACGCTCATTATAAATACAGTAAGACCCACGTTTATATAGCACCTCATTTTCAAAGTACTTTACAATATAAAGTGGGTGGCCAGAGGCACCATTTCCATGATGGGGGGGAAACAGACATAAAGTACATCAGCTGGATAGCGGACAGAATTCACTGAGGCGATGGCTTGCACGCTTATGTCCTCCACCACTCCCTTCCCTTCCTACCACCTGTGCTCCTGCCTTGAGAGGTTGGTGGACTACTGTGCCATAGCCTAACCCCATCTGTAGGGAGACTGCACTAATTCTGCTTTTATCCTCTGTTTGGGTTGGCACATGGGAGGAAGGAGGACAGTGAGAGACTCTTATGTTAAATATCTTAGAAAAGCTCCACGGGGATATTTCAGAGCAATGGTATCCAAACTGTCCTAAGTGGCTCCCAAGGACCAATTTTATATATTCTGCATCCAGGTAAGGTGAAGTTTGAAAAACGGTCTTGCTGTTTAAGCTGACTGAAAACCAGTGCCTCAGAGCAAACGTCAGCTTCTTTACAATTCCTGGAACTGAGACACGGTCTTCTTCTAGGCCCTCCCTGAAGGGTGTATTTGACCTCCTTGTTCACTCTGGGCTGAGCAAAGCTCCTGAGGTCTAACAGTGACCTCTGGGTCGGGCAATGTTGAAGGGTGCCAGGTCCTGTAACTGGGTTAGCATCTTTCTTTAAGGACTTGCTCAAGGTTGAACAGCAGAGTAACATCTGGATCTGAAGCAGCAATTCCTAGAATTTGCATTTCATTTATTGAGACACACTGCCTCCAGCCAATGTCTACAAGGAGCCAATCAGATCTGCAAATAACATTTTTCAAAGTTTTCCATGTAGTGTCAGCTGTTTGAAACAGCAAACTTGGGAAGAAGTGCTATATTTGTTAGGACTTAATAACAGATTGAATAATCAGACTTACAGTATATGTCATTTATTTCCCTAAGACTTAAAATTTGGGGGGATTGAGGACGGTAATAAATACCATGGTTTGTTTTCACATGTGTGGAACTGTGAACCAGAAAGTACGTTGCAGAAAATAGACTTAGGAAGAAGAAATTCAGAAGAACAGGAACAAAGATTAGGGAGTAATAGAGACCAATGAAGAAACTATCTTGGCCACTGCTCCTGGATGGACAGCACTATTTGGTTTGGCTGTCAACTGCCGGATTTGTAACATGCAAATAGCTTAGTAGGAAAGAGACAAAGTCAAGTGCAGCTCAAAATGCCTGTTCGTCTAGACTAGAGTCTCTAGACTCATGTTAGTCTCAGTTCAGCGAAATCTAACACAGACTCTTGAGAGAAGACTCTGAAAAAGGAGTGCTCTAGGAAATCCTGAAGCAGACCAGAGCAGACCTAGATCCCTAGCCTGCCCTGACTCCTGGGATAGGAGGAGGCAAGGACAGCATGCCTTCTACCCTGGCATTTATCAGAAAGGCAGTTCACGGGAGGTGCATTCTAGGTGGTGAAATTACCAACTCCAATCCTAGGGTCTCCTTCTTATTACGTGCAATTTAGAACACTTGGTAGGAACAGAATGTATAAATAACGTCTAAGCAATGAGACCGACCTTATCCTGATAAAACAAGGCACTGTCTAGGGTTTTCTCCAGAATGGTGGCCACAGCAACTCGCACTTCTCTCACACTGCACTCCAGCAAGAAAATCCTAAAACACAGAGAGAGAAAAGATGCACACTGAGAAAGCAAAATGGATTTTGATAAACCAACCTCAGGCCCACCTACTATCCAAGAAACGAAATCCCTCCAAGATGTTGGCTCAAGGTTCCTGAGAGCTTTGGGACACACTCACAGGCTACTGTGATGAAGAAAGAAGGCCAAACAGGAAAACCAGACCCCTGGACACTGAAAAGCGTATTTTTCCCCTTCTAAAAAATGAGCCATCTGTACAAATGTAATGGAGTAACAGATACATGGATCTAAAGAGATATGAAAGCAAAGAACCTAAAATGTTATAAATTCTGTTCACTCAGTAGTTCCCCCATGGGCACCCTTCCCTTTGAATTTTTCAGGATAACTAAAGTTCACAGTCAAGAGAGCCCCCCCCCCCACTCCACCTCTGCACCATATCTACCCTTTTCCTTTCCTCTCCCTCCCCAGGCCTTGTTACCTAACCCCCCTATATGAGCATTTGCAGCCCAAGAGGTCATGCTTCCCCCCTTTCTTTGTCTATGATGGTGATGACCACAGCAGTCAAGGTTGATCAGGTGCTTCCATGATCTTGGGCACTGCAAGTGCATAATCTACTGCAATCCTTTACACCCTACCCCCCCCCCCCAACCAGCGGAGCGGTGGGGAAGGAGGCCTCTGATGCAGAGGGGCGTGGTCAGGCGGAAGCGCTGCTCTGGGGATGAGTGGAATGGGAGTGCCCCCAGAGCGTGCTTCTCCACAGTCAGCCTTTGTTCTCTGCTTCATACGCTCACTTGGATGTGACAACCCACACTGCTATCAGCAAAGTGAAAACCCACCTGTCTTTTCTCATTTTCTTAGCAGGAAGTTCTCATTATTCCACATGAAAGACTTAACTACAGCTGAGTTTTGAGGACCATGTCTTCCAGGTGCCAGCAGCAAGCTGCTCTAGTCCCCGTTTGAGGGCAGTACTGACATTTCCTTCCTCCCCTCTCAGGAGTACGCTGAGAGCAGAGTTTCTTTCTTTCTTTTTTTTTTAAAGATTTTATTTATTTGACAGAGAGAGAGAGACAGCGAGAGAGGGAACACAAGCAGGGGGAGCGGGAGAGGGAGAAGCAGGCTTCCCACAGAGCAGGGAGCCCAATGCAGGGCTCGATCCCAGGACCCTGGGATCATGACCCGAGCCGAGGGCAGACGCTTAATGACTGAGCCACCCAGGCGCCCCATGAGAGCAGAGTTTCTGAGGTCACTCTGCTACTCATTCCCCATAACCGTTAGTGCTACCAATTAGCTACCTAATTTGCACCAGACTGAGAAGGCTGTGTTCAAAATCACTAAGACTCTAGGGGCAACTACAAGAAAGTTAGAGGGGTAACAAGTATGCCTGTAATGTTTGCTCTAGAGGCTTGTTCAGATTCAGGTACAATTGTTTTGGAAAGAGTATCTCCAGGGGCTGCACCACATTTCCTATCATAGACACTCAGAGGCACTATGAGAATACAGACAAATCTAGAATGTGAGGAATTCTATAGGGCAAATGACCAGTCTGCCCCTCAAAAAAATGGCACGAAAAAAAAGGAGGTGGTGGGGGAAAGGGACAATTACAGATTACAAGAGTCTTAAGAGACATATAAACTAAATGCAACGTGTGGAGCTTGTTTGGATCCTGATTTGTACATACACAGTGGTAAAATGAACTTTTTTGAGTTATCTGGGGAAATCTGAATATGGACTGGGTTTAAGGTGATATAAATATTATTTTTGTTTAGTGTGATCATGGTAAAGTGCTTAGTTTTTAAAAAACTACCTTTGGAGATACATGCTGGAAGATTTATAGCGAAATTATATGATGTCTAAGACTTACTTTAAAATACTAGAGAGAAAAAGGGGCGGCTGGGTGGCTCAGTGGACTGAGCATCCAACTCTTGATTTTGGCTCAAGTCATGATCTCAAGGTTGTGAGACTGAGCCCCGCATCAGGCTCTGGGCTCAGTGGGGGAGGAGTCTGCTTGGGTCTCTTTCTCCCTCTCCCTCTGCTGCCCACCCCCCCGACTCTCATGCATGCACACGCGTGCTCTCTCTCTCTCAAATAAATAAATACATCTTAAAAAAAAAAAAGTAAAATGCTTGAGAGAAAAAAAAAAGCAAGCCTGTGAGTGAGTGGTGAGTGCTGGGTGCTGGGAGGGGCAACAAGATGGGTAAAGCGCTGGTAACCTGACCTGGGGAGCGGTATAGGACAGGGTGCTCATTCTGGCTACTTGGCTTCCACAATAAAAACTTTTTAAGTATTCTTCGTTTAGTAGTTTTAATTCTTTAGATCAATTTTCAAGCAATACTTAGTACTGATTCAAATTTTTACAATTATGGTTACATTTAAGCATTGCCTAAAAAAATGATTATACTGAGAAGCTCTGATCTCAGAGATAGCATCCCCCACACATTGCTACTTCAGTTGTACACGATAACCTAAGTTATCTTAAAAACTGTAAAGAAGTAATTATAAAATTACCAAATATAAAATCAAAATGATAGTGATAAATTGACAGTGATAAAGAAACAAAAATATAATAAACTCTCTCAGGAAGAATACCGATTAGATAATTCATTGGGATTCTTAACCATCAGGAACACTAAGAAACCAAACATAGTCCCAAAGGAGTTACCAAGTTCTTCTGGCGATATTTAAAAGACTGGTTGGATAGAAGGAAATAAACTAAATATTTGCCATGTTTCTTCCAAAGAAATGATTCTATGATGTTGAACTTCTCACTATTGGGAAGAGACTTTGGAATTGCAGTAGAAAAACGGGGGGAACGTTGTCTCTGATGCAAACTCTAAAGGGACAGGCACATACAACACTTCACAGAGATGTTTATTTGCTCTCTTTATGAACTATGTGCATGTGTGCACGCATGCACAAACTGCACAAACATCTGAGTGCTATGTGCTAGGCTCTTTGTGTACAGAAGGAAACCAACCAGACTTAGCTTCTGTCCTCAAGAAGCCAGCCTTTAGTGAAGGGACAGGCAAAAGAGCAGAACAGACCAATTGTGCAGACTCACTTTAGACGAGGTCATCAGGAGGGGATGGCCTCTTTGACATCTGAAGGGTTAAGAAGGTGCTTACTATGCAGTCCTGGATGGGAAAATGTTCCAGATAGAGGGAGTAAAGGTGCAAGGGTCTTTAGGCAGGAAAACAAAGCTTAGCATGTTAAAGGAATCAACAAGCCAGTGTGAGGAAAGTGAAACAAGACCATATTGGAGGCCTTGTGGGTTATGGTAAAGATTGTATCTTATCAGGAGTGTAACAGGAATTCACTGAAGAACTTTCAAGCAAAGAAGTAAGTTTGTTTAAAAAAACAAAACACTTTTGTTGCTGTAGGAGGTAGATTAGAGAAAGAAATGGAGAGATCAAGTAGGCAAATGACTGGAGCTCAGTCCTATGAATGAAAGGAATATGGGATCAAGAGTTTCGATTAGCTCTCTAAAGTGCCACCAGGCTGGCTGTGAGCTCCCTGTGGAAGGGGCTTGCATTTCTGAATTCCCCGTTGTCTAAGTTGAGAGATACCAGAGCATATCTGCATGCTGATGGAAGTACTCCGTAAAAAATTCTACATGGTAAAGATGCATGAATGAGAGCTGATAAAAGGGTTTGCTCATGTAGAGATTCATTTTGAGGAGAGAGGACATTTCCTCTAAAGTAACAGGAGGAAAAGACAGGAAAAAGAACAGGCTTTGGTGTGCTAGGGCTAGAGGTCTGCTCATCTGTGACTCGTACTTTCTCAGTGAAGTCTGAGGCAAGGTCCTTAGCTGGAGGCAGGGTGTGCTGGCATGGCAGGCATGAGGGGTGAGGAGGTATAGTGGAGGCGGGGTGAAGGAGGAGCTCATGGAGCCCCTGCACGAGTGCTGAACTCCCCAAGGACAAGAGAAGCTGACCTGACAAGGATGACTGGGAGTAAGGTGTAAACAACCATAGTGATTGAGCATCTTGACTTTTAACCAGAAAAAGCAAATTATTTTTTATTACAGGCACATAGGTAAATGTACTACCATAGGTATTACAGTAATCAGTAAGTTTTTGAAAAATACTATTTTTGCTAGAATCGATAGACAATATTGTGGTACTGCTGTGTAGGAACCAAGGATTGTTAACCTCCCCTCCCTGCCATCAGAGTGTGAGTCCCTGAGGGAGGGACATATTCTGGAATCTCCTGAGCCACAGGAGGAGTTCAGGCCATGCTTGCCTGTGAGCACGTGGCTATGTGCACACATGCTCTCCCTGCACTCACTGAACGCTCGTCTGAGTCTAGTCCAATGGAGACGGTTTTAGAAAGAATGATTTTAGAGTGACCTGAAAATTTCCTCATGCTTCTGGTGAAGACAGTTCAAAATTGACTCCAATCAGAAAAGTAATTTCAAGTAGAAATAAAAATAGTTACAGGAAACAGCAGTTCCAAGCCACTGGAAGAGACACAGATTTCTTTTAATTAATTAAAAGATCTTGACACTTACTTTATTAATTCTCGTCCTTCAGAACTAATAAAATATTCAACTAGCCACTGACAAGCATCAAAACTTTTGGAAAGTAATGCTTCAATAGTGGCAATCCATTCTTCAGTATCAACCCTTTAAAAAAACAAAGACAGACATATAAGGAGCACGGCCCTAGCAAATAACCCTATGGAGTGTGACTGTTGTTTAACCTGTTTTGGGGAGGTGAGGTAGAGGGTAAGTCAAATACCCAATGACCGATGACCAACATGGCTCCATGCGCCCCAGAAGCCAGGGCTTTGCATTTTTTCTATTCCCCTGCACCTCCCCCCCAAAAATGCGAAGAAGCCTAAGTCTTAAGACTTTAACTTTCGGGGCGCCTGGATGGCTCAGTTGGTTAAGTGACTGCCTTCGGCTCAGGTCATGATCCTGGAGTCCTGGGATCGAGTCCCACATTGGGGGGGGTCCCTGCTCAGCAGGGAGTCTGCTTCTCCCTCTGACCCGCTTCCTCTCGTGCTATCTCTCATTCTCTCTCTCAAATAAATAAATAAAATCTTTAAAAAAAAAAAAAAGACTTTAACTTTCATCTTCTGTATCTTCTTCAAACAACTTCAACTGGGAAAAATGCCTGACTGTGGCATTTTGTTTTGCTTAATTAATTTACACATTCGTAAAATGCCCACTTTCAGAACAGGTTACTATGTCAATGTTTTTATGTTTTGTTGCTACAATCACTAATTTCCTACTTTATGGGATAAAAACATTTGGGTAGACAAAGAGGTATAATGACTGTACTACCTGTGACCTCCCATAACACCCCTCCATTCTCTCTTGCCCCAAAATGGTAAAAATAAACAAGATGAAAATAGTCTGCAGTGCATAGATAGCTCAAGCAAATTTCACAATAAAAGTAACATTTCCTTAGTCCTACGCATTAAAAGAAAGGAACATATTATGTCTTCTTTTACAATCAAATAACAAAGATTGATATCATTTAATATATCTTTATTACACCTAAAAATGAAGTTGCCACTCTATTTGTTTCTTCTCAAGTGTCTCCTGACTGCAAAGATCTTTCCCCAAACATCCCCATACCTGGAGAAGTTCCCCATACTGCCCTGGTGTAACTGTCCCTGCCTTCCTCACCCCGAGTCTCTCCTTGCTCAGGGCACCTGCTCCAGCTGGTGTGCAACTACTCTTCACCCTTCACCCATTCACTCACACAGCAACTCTGTACCCGGAACCTACAATGTGTCAGGCACCTTCCAGGAACCGAAGATAGAAACTATTCAAAAACCCTCCACCATCTCCCCTTGAACACAGTCTCAACTCCCCTCTGTGGTACTCAGGACACTCACTGGGTTCATCATCCAAACCCCACATCTGACCTCACTTTCAATGAATTCTTTACATGTGTGAGCAAAACACTAGTCATTCACGGGTCTTTAGGCAAGTCTTGTCCATGTCTCAGGTTTTCCCCTTTGACCTAGACTGCTCCCTCTGTTTCTCTGTTTTCACCTTTCAAAATCCTCTGAGAATATCAATCCTCACATCCTACCCAATCCTCACATCCATCTGGATATGATTTTGCCCAATTCCCAAAGATGTACAGCATTTATGCCTTGCTTTTTCTGCTTTATCTATCCTTCCTGTGAGGTTAGAAACTCCTTCACGATAGGAACCATGTCTTAATCACCTGAATATATTAGGTAGGTGCCTATGCTTTGAATTTATAATTCTATTTTAATTGAATTCACTGGTGCCTTCTGCCACAACAATCAAAACATATCATTTCTCACCTGAGTTTTTTCTTTGTCCGTAGGTAAGTTTGAAAAAGGAACTGAATAGCAAGCTGTAAGCTCACCTTTGCCATGCAAGGATAATATGGATGCTTTAATTTAGTCTGAGAGAGAGGGAAAAAAGAGAGTATTTTTCACTGATGTTTTACAGATTATTGAATGTTACGAATTGAATAATGACACGTAAGAAAGTTAAATATTACTAAGAAAAATCTAGCCAGCTTATTATAGAAAGCGTTCCATTTAAATTTTTAAAAAGGGTAAGAAAAGACATCTTCTTCATATCTTTTATGAACCCCTCTCAAAATAGAGTCTTTAAACCATGGGATGGTAAGTAACCTGTCAACAGACTAAGAAAGTATTTCCCTTACTGGCAAATTGTAATCACGGTACTCAAGGAACAGAAATACTTGGAAGTTCATCTTGAGTCCGGTAAAGTCTGATGACAAATTAGGACAAATTAATCTACACAAAGTGCAACATTCATTGACCTCACCTCATGGCTATTCTTAGATTCTTTATAAAACTGAAAAGCACTTGAAAATGCCAATATGTGGAAACCCGTGCATTCACAATCTGCAGGACATGTTCTGAGCACTGCCTATATTTTAGTATCACCCAGGAAGTGACACATTTGTGCGAATGTTCCGGGCATTTGATCTGACTGGTGACAGCTGAGGGGGAGGGTAAGTCACTGAACGCTTGAGCTGACAGTTAACTATGCTCCTTTCTTAGTCCTCTACTAACAAGCCAACTAGTACTTACAGCATTCAATGATGCTAAAGACAAAACAAAACTGAAATAATCACTACTGTACACATCTCTATTCTTCATAAACTTGAGGTTTTCATCTCTCACCATCTACAAAAGAAAATCAGTAATTATTTTTAAGAAACGGCAAAATATTCACTCTGTGGAAGACATTTTTGAAGATACGTTAGGTAAAAAAGGATTTTATATTAGGTTAGAAGGGTTCACAAGAACCCTTTTCTTGAGCTTTGAAATTTTAAAAAAGGAGAGAGGAAAATCTTCCTTTCAAATATAAGAAGCTGAAAGAAGGTGAATTATTCTTCATCAAACCAAATTCTTTTGGGAAATTTAGGAAAACCACCATGTGAAGGACAAGTGAATTCAAACCTGCTATTTTGGGTTGAGGGACAAACAGAGCTTTCCCAAGTACAACTAACTTGATGCTTTCTCCTTGTATTGGAGAGCTTAATTCCTTCTCTCTAAACAAAACACTCCTTATTTTTCTTAAATTCTCTGGTTCTCGCTACTCAGCTTTTGCTTATTTAGTGTTACAAAGCCTGGACTGGATAGTTGGACAGTTCTGAATTTAAATCCTAGCTCTGTGACACTGGCGGTCACTTCTCCTTTTCTGAGCTCAGTTTTTCCATCTTAAAAAATGGGAGTAAAACACAAGAGTGTTTTAAGAATTAAGGATTTATGTAAAGCACGTAGCACAGAGTAGATATTCAATAGCTGATGGTCATCACTACGACATTAGTTTTACCCAAAGGCATGCCCCTGATCTTCCCTCTGCAGACGGTAAGTTAATTTCAGCAGTGTGTGTCTTTAGTGCCCACACCCTCCTACTTGTCTAATCTGTGGCACCACCGCAGTCACACGGGAGGCTGACGATAGGGCTGGCCACCTCCAGTCTGTGGCCACCTCTGTGACCGTAAGAGACTCGTGAGACAAGGTGGTTAGGCTGAGGCACTCGAGATCCAACCAAGTCCACGAGGAGGCCAGCGGGAATACTTCTGGACCTATGAGGTGGATTTTGATTTCTGTCTGAATTTTCTCCCTTAGAATTTTTTTATATGGTTCTTACCTGGTATATTCGAACAGGCATTTTCTCCACAAACAGTCCTTTCTTCTCGCCTTTTTTAACCAGCTTGGTTAGAATAGAGAGCCGGTCATTGTTGGGCCTGTGGGGCCGGGGAGAGGACTGCGGAGAAACCTCTGGTGAAGACGGCGCAGACCTAAGGACAGAACAGAAAACTGGCTGCTGTAAAGCTGACAGACTTACGGAACTAGACTTGACAACAAACTGCATCCCTTCCAGATCCCATATAGGAAAATGCAATTTCAGACAACAGGACCTTAAAAAAAAAACAACACTGACAGTGGCTGGTTGATTGCTATGCTTTGGACATAAAGGGTACTCGATAAATGCCGAAACTAGGAAAAATGGCAATTCTAGAAGGAAATAATTTATATGCATGTTTCTAAATACAAAATAACTTCTTGCTAAGGAGGTAATAAATGGGTGGCAATAAGAAAAGGGGTAGAGGGATTTACTTATTTTCTTTTTTGAATTTCTCTCTAGCTTGTTTAACGAATTACCTTTAAATGCCCAACAGTACACTCAAGATTACAATGACCACCTGCTGAAATGGCACAGTGAATTATGTAGAAGAGAAACTCACAGAGAGAGATCCTCAGCTTCCTGCCGGACGACGCTAACCCGACTTTTCTTTGGTAATACTGGGGAGTTTTGATCAGAGACCCTTTGGTAGAAGAGCATATAGGCATTCCAGTATCTTCGGCGTACATCAGTATATGGGTTCGCTTTATAACAAAACAGGAAGAGATCTTTGTAAATAAAAAGTTTTCTTGTCTTGACAACCTAAAATAAAGGACCTATAAATCCAGCAAGTACTTACAAAATTTAAATGCAAAGTGTAAGTAAAATGTGTGTCTTTTTACCAGTAATACTGCTTAGAATTACTTGAAAGGTGATACAGAGGAACAGGAAGGAAGTTGTATGGTAATGGGGTAAAGACGGTAAATATTCTTAGGCAAGCCTAAATTTAATCAAAAGACAAATAACATCTAAAAAATAAGTTCTGTGCACAGGATGGGATTATAACTGGCCTCACTTAACCATTTCTGCAGAGAACAGCCAAATCTAGGTAAATTTTGGCAACGATACCATCTTTAACCATTAAAGATTACTATTATTAGACACAGGACTACCATGGTATGGTATTATTTAATACAGGTAGAATTTTTTTAATTTTAATTTTTTAAAAAGATTTTATTTATTTGTCAGAGAGAGAGAGAACACAAGTAGGGGGACCTGTAGGCAGAGGGAGAAGGAGGCTCCCTGCTGAGCAAGGAACAAGATGCAGGACTTGATCCCAGGACCCTGGGATCATGACCTGAAGCAAAGGCAGATGCTTAACCTTAGAGCCACCAAGCGTCCCTTTAATTTTAATTTTTAATTGAAGTATAGTTGACATATACTATTAGTTTCAGGTGTACAACACAGTGATTTGACAATTACATACATTATGAAATGTTCCCTATGATAAGGGTCATTACCATCTGTTGCCATACAACCTTATTATAGTATTATTGACTATATTCTCTATGCTTACTTTCCATCCTGTGACTTATTCATTTTCTAACTAGAAGTCTTTACCTCTTAATTCCCTTCACCTATTTCTCCTGTTCCCCTCTGACCCGAACACAGGTAGAAATTTTTAAATGCCCCTAGAATACTACAAAATCAAGTTTCAGAAATGCTAAGGTCTCTATAAAATGTCTTTCCCCCCCCCCCCCCCCCAAATAGCAAATTCTGATTGGATTCTCTGATGTCCCTTTCCTCATACTTTCTTCTGGGGGTGGTGGCTGGGGAGGGAAAGGCTGTTTTGCCATACTGCATAATAAATATGGTTTTAAAACCCACATGTGAGAGATGTCTTCTCTAATTAATTGTGCCTCATGTAAGTGAAAAGGAAATTTGAGAATTTTAGTGGACAGCTACTTCTTCTGAAATGATTTTTAAGGATGAAATTCCGTGTTCATTAGCTTCTCTCTGACATTTGTTTCTTCCTCTTAACTTACTCTATCACCTGTCTCCCCGAGGGCTGCTGCAAGAAATTAAGTTTTAAAACATTCTGTAAGCAGCTCGAACATTTTCTCTCAGGCTATCAAGGAGTCCGTGGATCTATATGGCTAGAACAGTGATACATAAAGATAAAAAAATTACATTTTATGTAAAGAATACTACTTCGAATTTGATAGAAAACCGTAAGTTAAAAAATTAAAACTAATGGGAAATATCCATTTGTAAATACTTACTTTGATCATAAACTTTTGGTCTATATTCTCCTCCAAAGCATTCATACTCCAGGGTCTCATCATTTAGGTCAAATTCTTCTATGACTGTGTCATTAAACTTATACCACTTTCCTTTTCCACAGCCCCTGGAGCCCACAGAGGAACAAACGTTATAAAATTAAAACCTGACATTCCCCTCCCCAGCCTTGATCTCTATGTATTGCCTACACATAGAGCAGATGATTACCATTTGAAAATACTCAAGAAAAAAACTTAAATTTGTAAAACAACTTTTCAAACTGAAGAGGTAAACAGTTATACTACATTTTAAAAAATCCAACATGAAATATGACCAAGCAGCAAAGCAAAAGCTTCTCTGCACTATGCTCATAAACATGGATGATAAGAATAGGGCGGGGGGGGGCACAGGAGGGACAGAGGAGGGTGGGGGGAATGGAGGAG